AGAGGGCTGCTAGGTGAACTGCTTTAATTTTTTTTTCAGTGCATTAAGAGGCAGGTTCTCAGCTGAGCAGAATGAGGGAACCATGGTCCATTTGGCCAGTGGGACATTTGAGGAGGGATGAAAAGGTTTGGAATACCTGATGTTGTGAGTGAGATAGTGAATTGATGAGGGAGGTATAAAAACATTGCCTTGTTGCACTAAGGACTTAGTTGACATTATGCAGCACAGATTTACTGTGGACCCAGACAGGATGGTTTTTGGATCTTCTCCAGCAATATTCAGGAGTACCTGAATAGGAATGAACACAACAGATGGTGAAAGTAATCCAAGGCTGTGACTTGGAGAGGCAAAATTAGTGATAGAATAAAGAGACAACAGAATATTGTCAAGTCAAATGGATTCACCAATATAAAGAGAGAGGGGAGAGAGGAGAGTAGAAGCAGTACAAAGATGATAGCCTGGAGGAAAAATAAAAACTGAGGTACAGGAAGTCAGAGTGAGAAAGAAAATTGGGGATCCTAAGGCAGAGAGAAAGATGGAGTTAAAAAAAATTATGATCAGATAAAGCAAATCCAGAGTTCATTAACATGGAAGTAAAAACTTATGGTGATGGCAAGATCAAAGGTATGATTATTTCTATATATAGCTGAGGTGGAATGGAGGAATAAGTCATGGGAAATGAGTAGATTAAGCAATTGAGAAATGTTTGAGGGAATTCCCTTAGTAAAGGGCAGGAGTTAGAGTGAGGAGGAAAACTGTGAGTCAAGTACTGAATTCACCAAAGAAACAGAGTATCCAGGAATTGGTAGAGAATAGCTAAGAGGATCTTGATTGGTGATGAATTGGGATTCAATGAACCTGAAAGGAAGGGAGATTACTGAGTGATAGTGGTAGAGGGAGAGTCTAGATGTGGCAATGGAGAGCAAGGAGCATTCCAACTTGCTCACCTAGATCAGTGAGGTAGGAATGAGTGAAAAAGCAGTCAGTGATGGAAAGGGAGATCAGGGATACAGGGGAATTAGGAGGGAGCCAGGGCTCTGAGAACCAGAAAATAAAGAGTGAGAAAAGAAGTTTTTGTCTCCATAATAGTATTTTATTTTTTTACAATTATGCATAAAGATAGTTTCCAGCATTCAGTTTTATAAGATTTTGAGTTCCAAATTTTTTCTCCCTCACTCCACTTCCCTTACCCAAGACAGCAAGCAATCTGATAAAAGTTATACATGTATAATCATATTATACACATTTCCACATTGGTTATATTGTGAAAGAAGAATCAGAACAAAAGGGAAAAACCATGAGAAAATTAGAAAACGTGAAAATAGTATGATCTGATCTGTATTCAGACTCCATAGTTCTTTCTCTGGATGTGGATAGCATTTTCCATCATGAGTCTTTTGGAATTGTCTTAGATCATTGTATTGCTGAGAGGAGCTAAAAGTCTATCAAAAAATTGGTCATCGGACAACATGGCTGTTACGTGTACAATGTTTTTCTGGTTCTGCTCACTTCACTCAACATCAGTTCATGTAAGTCTTTCCAGGTATTTCTGAAATCTGCCTGCTCGTCATTTCTTATAGCACAAAAATATTCTATTACATTCATATGCCACAACTTGGTCACTCATTCCCAATTGATGGGCACCCCTCAATTTCCAATTCTTTTCCACCACAAAAGGAGCTACTATAAATATTTTTGCAGATCCTTTTCCATTTTTTTTTTATTTCTTTGGGATACAGACTTAGTAGTGGTATTGATGGATCAAAAGGTATGCATAGTTTTATGGCCCTCTTGACGTAGTTCCAAATTACTCTCCAGAATGATTGGATTACTTCATAACTCCACCAACAATTTGTTAGTGTTCCAGTTTTCCAACATTTTCTTCTACATTTATCATTTTCCTGTTCTGTCATATAAGACAATTTTATAGGTGTGAGGTGTTACTTCAGAGTGTTTTAATTTGCATTTCTCTAATCAACAGTAATTTAGAGTATTTTTTATATGACTATAGATAGCTTTAATTTCTTTATCTGAAAACTGACTGTTCATATCTTTTGAGCATTTATCAATTGGAGAATGACTTGTATTATTATAAATTTGACTCAGTTCTCTATATATTTGAGAAATGAGGCCTTTATCAGAAAAACTGGCTGTGAAAATTGTTTCTCAGCTTTCTGCTTTCCTTCTAATCTTGATTGCATTGGCTTTGTGAAAAACCTTTTTAATTTAATGTAATCAAAATTATCCATTTTGCATTCCATAGTGTTCTCTATCTCTTGTGTGGTCATAAATTCTTCCATTCTCCATAGATCTGACAGGTAAGCTATTCTTTGCTCTCTAAATTTGCTTCTGGTTTCATTTTTTATGTCTAAATCATGTACCCATTTTGACCCTATCTTGATATAGGTGTGAGATGTTGGTCTATGCCTAGTTTCTGCCATACTCTTTTCCAGTTTTCCCAGCAGTTTTTGTCAAATAGTGAGTTCTTATCCCAGAAGCTGAAGTCTTTGAGTTTATTAAACAGTAGATTACTATAGTCATTTACTACTATGTCTTATGTACCTGATTTATTCCTCTGATCCACCACTCTATTTCTTAGCCAGTACTAAATGGTTTTGATGATGGCTGCTTTATAATATAATTTTAGATCTAGGTATGGTTAGGAAAGAAGTTTTAAGATGAAAGCAAGTTTCTTAACTATAAGATAGGAATTCCAGAGAACACAGTGAAAGGGCCAAGTAAGATCATGATTAGGACTTTGTGGAGTAGGGTTGAGAGTGATGGGAGTAAGGGAGTGGGTGGTGGGTGATGGGAAATAGGGTTTGTACAACAACCAGGGTTTCAGAATCACTGTGATGGGGGAGTACAGTGGGATATGAGTATGTTAATTACTGAGGAATGAGTCTGGGCAGAATAGCAAAGAAAGTACATGAAAGAAGTGAGAAAAGCAGATGTTTGGATTGGTCAACATCTTTCTTCAAGATCCAACTTCATGGTCAATGCTGCTGTATCCCGTGGGGTCCAAAAAGACAAACTTACAGCAGACATGAATGAGCAAAGTTAAGTCCAAGGGGAATCTCAACAAGAGGCAGGATCTGGCAATTTTTGGGGGGGTGGTTTGGAAATCAGATTTGATAAAGTACTTGGGCTGAAGACAGAGGCCACAGAAAGGCAGTCTGGTTCTGGGGCTGATGTGACTGGAAGTCACAGGAGCAAAGAGGCTACTAAGGGGTGGCCTTCATTCAGGGCACTTCTGACTGCTCTTTTGTCCAATTCAAATGAAAGCCAAGGCTATGCGATTCCTGCTTCCCTCATCCCTTTCTCCACATTGGTATAGGGTTTTGTTTCTACACACCTAGAAATAATAAGTTTCATCCCTTCATCCCCCTTTCTTCATTAGTGTGTTCTTTCCACCTCCTTTTCTTTCTGCCTTTAAGGTCTCCAAAACAGAACATTCCACCCCACCCCCACCCCCAGGGCCTTAGTTTTTCTCATTTAACTTCATCTCTCACACTTGAAGACTTGGGAGTCAAAAGGGGATACTTGTTTCTCTTCCTACTAGTAGAAAGTAAATATTTCCTCATCATATTATCTCTCTCAATTAATCCAATATATTTGCCTTTCTAGATTTCTCTGGACTTGTGTTTACATTTCAAAGAGTCTGTTCAGCTGTGGTCATTTTTATCAGGAGTAATGTAAGTCCTCTTATATTAAAAGTCCTTTTCCCACAGACTCAGGATTATGCACAGGTTTTTTTTCAGGTAAATTATCTTTGGTTATAAACCTTTGCATTCTATCTTTTGGAATATCATATTCTAAGTTCTTTCCTTTTGCTGTGGTTGAGTTTTTTCCATTGTGTCTGGCTCTTTATGACCCCATTTGGGGTTTTCTTGGCAAAGATACTAGAGTGGTTTTCCATTTCCTTCTCCAGCTCATTTTACATATGAGGAAACTATGGCAAACAAGGTTAAGTGACTTGCCCATGGTCACATAGCTAAAAAGTATCTGAAGCCAGATTTGTACTCAGGTCCTCCTGGCACTCTATCTATTGCACCACCTAGATGAAGATGAAAAACGACTGAAGTGGGGCTGTTGAGGTTTAGAGGTTAGCGGTTCAGGGACCTCAAAATCACAACAGGTGGCTCCTGCCTGAATGAATTCAACCCAAGTCTTCTTTTAGTCAAAGACAAGGTTTATTAGAACATCCATTGTAGGCATATTGGGCAGACTCTTAAGGAATCTAAGCATTTGTATCACTAATGCAAGTGGGCTGGATCTTAGGAATCTGAGCAGTGGCTATATTTGAAGAATTTGAGCAGTCACTAGAGACAAGTGGACCTTATATACAGAAAGACTGTGGGAGGGATGTAGGAGTGGCCAAGTAGTTTGGGGTGACTGGAGGAAGGGTCTAAGAAGGATCTGGATGGGAGGGGCCAGTAACCTGGGGCAAACAGGGACCTGGACCAAGTGACCAAGGGAGAATGGAGTCTAGATAGGATTAAAGATGGGAAGTGGCGGGGGGCAATTGGGAGGTAACAGAACAGAATTGGGAGATTGGGCATAGGCACAATGAAAAACCAGTTGATAGGATTATAGTCTCAGATGGCCAGATGGGAAAGTCCAGGATTTTTCCTTTTTGGGCAGATCCCAAAGACATGGTCTTTTCCTTTTAGGGGTTCAGATCTCAGCCCCATCAGGGCTGGTCCTATAATCACAACTTTCTGCCAACAGCCATCAGGACTGGAGAATACTATTTAATTCCTGAAGAATCACTTCTCCCTCGCAATTTCTCAGTCAGGAGCAATGACTGAGGCCAAAATGAAGCCCTAGATTTACATGGGTAATTCATTAACCTATCCCCCCTCAGTGAACAGGATTGGACTTAGCAGTTCCTTTTCTGGGGATGGGAGCAGGAAAGAAATTTGCTCCTCTGACCAGGGGATGAGCTGGTTCAAAGGATATCCACTTAACAAAGAGAACACAGTTGTTTACTTACATGAGTTTGGTTGGTGGTCAATTTGTACTTCTTTCAAAACGGGTAGCAGTGGTTTCCAAGCCTTTGTGAACCCTCTAAATGGAAAAGTAAACAAGAAAAATACAAAAGCTTTCCATAATTCTTTACAATAAAAATTGCAACACATGTTATTAATTTGAAATGAAGGCTTTATCTAAAGGGTACACAAACCACAGTAGGGCCATTTCAAATTGTCTCCTGCAACTCATGTGTAAATAAAACATTTAAATGGCTATGTATGTGTCAGTTATTATTATTACTATTATTATTATTATTATTATTATTGCTCAAATACTCAGTGACCTTAGTCATTCGTACTTGATGACTATAGCCATGAGGATATTTCCTCCAATGACGTAGATCAAATTCTTTCCAGGCCTGTCCAGCAAGTACAATTCACCTCCCACAAGTTCACCACAGAGGGGCCACCAAGCATGCTGGGGGCCTTTCTCACTCGGTCTTAACATTGTGGGGAAATCAGTGGAGCACACTGGGTGTCCCTCAGTCATCCTTCACTCATGTCTATTGCTACTGTAGCAGGAAATTGAAAGGAAGTTCTCAGTAGCTTAAGACCTGTGGATCAAGAAAAGCTAAGCCATTATCCCCCCCCCCCCAAGCCTATGTTCTATTTACTCTGTAACTCATTTCATATTCCTCTTTATTTACATGTGTATTTCTCCCATTAAAATGTAAGCCCCCTGAGGTCAGGACTGTATGGGCCTTTCTTTGTATTTTAGAAGGCATTTAATCAATATTGTTGTTTGGTCATTTTCAGTCACATGCAACTCTCTGTGACTTCTTTTGGAGTTTTCTTGGCAAATATAGTGGAGTGGTTTGCCATTTTCTTCTCCAGCTCATTTTAGAGATAGGAAACTGAGGTAAATAGAGGTAAGTGACTTGCCTGGGGTTACATAGCTACTAAGTATCTGAGGCCAGATTTGAACTCAGGAAGAAGAGTCTTCCAGACTTCAGGCTGGGCACTCTATCCATTGCTCTACCTATCTGCCCCTACTTAATAAATACTTGTTGTTAATTGACTGATCAATGAGGCAAGTAGGTGGCCCAGTGAATAGAACACTGGGACTGAAATCCTGAAGACTTAAGTTTGAATCCAGCCTCAGATACTTACTATAAATGTGTGTGATCCTGGGCAAGTCACTTAAGTCCCATTTGCCTCATTTTCCTCATCTGTAAGATGGGGATAATAATAATAGTACCTACATCTTGGGGTAATGAGATAATAATTATAATGCATTTAGCACAGTGCCTAGCCCATAATAAGAACTATATTAATATTAGCTATTATAAATTATAATTAATATTTGTGGGAATAATCATTACATTGGTAGGTAATTATATGCATGTATGTATTTAAAAAGAAATGGCTCCATTTTTTTCCCCCTTTCCCAGCAGCTGGATGATACAGTGGATAGAGTGCTGGGCCTGAAGTCAGGAAGATTCCTTCTCTTGAGTTCAAATCCATCCTCTGACGTTTACTAGCTGCATGACTCTTGGCAAGTCACATAACCCTGTTTGCCTCAGTTTCCTCATCTGTCAAATGAGTTGGAGAAGGAAATGGCTAACTACTTCAGAATCTTTGCCAAGAAAACCCCAAATAGGGTCATGAAGAGTCAGCTACGACTGAACGACAATGATGTTTCTAGTGCCTGCTTAGTTTTCAAAAATCCTACTTTTCAGTTTTTCAATGTCATATTTCTGGGCACTTTTTCAGAAATGATGAAAGTCATTTTACTTACCTGGTTTTATTTCTATTAAAATCTTTGACTTGCTTTCAGACGTCGGCAGCTGTCTTCATGCGTAAAGCCAAGGAAACCATTTCCTTAGAACAGGATTAAAATCTAGATATGGGAAATTCCAATTTCAGATTTCACTTTAATAGCTTTTCTGATTTTCTAGGTAATGCTTTGGGTAGATTATTTCCTATCAAAATCCTAGCAAAATGTGAGAGCCTGGGCCTCTAAGGAGAACGAACTACACAGAGGCATTTTTTATCTACAAGACTCTATTGGACACTCACTAAAACATGCACATTGAAATGGGGACTGCTCCTGAAGTTCAGAGAGGGGCAGGTCTTTCCCCCCCAGTTTTCTTTGGAAGAAGCTGGTGATAGTTAGTTGTGTTTTTAGTTGTTGTGGTGGTTTATTGATGGATTGATCGATTGCCCTCAAAGAGCCCTAAATGGTCAGGAAGAAAGAGCCTATTGACAAATACTCCATACAGCTGAACAGGAAGAGACAAGTAGGTGGCAGAGTGGATAGAGCACTGGCCCTGGAGTCAGGAGGATCTGAGTTCAAATCTAGCCTCAGACACTTACTAGCTGTGTGACCCTGGGCAACTCACTTAACTCCAATTGCCTCAAAAAACAAACAAACAAACAAAACCACCTAAACAGGACTTACAGAGAGTCACAGTTTAGAAATATAAATCTCAGTCATTCATTTCTGCTACAGTGGAAATGACATTGGATTTAGAGACAAATAGCTTACTCTGAGTCCTGGCTTTGCCAGCTGGATACGTTCCAGTCATGTGACCTCAGATTGAGTTACTTTGAGCCTCTGTTTATTCATCTTTAAATTTGACCTTCTGAACAGGATTGTTGTAACGAAAACTCTCAGTAAATAAATTGTTCCACGTGAATTGTTATTATTTTTGTATACTTTTGTATATTTTATATCTGAGAGTATATAGTGACTTTTATTATGGTTGTGCATGTGTGCCTTAAGTCATCTGGCAAACTACAATTTTGATGACACAGGCAACACAGTGCACAGAGTGTCTTTAAATATAATAAAATTAATATTTTATTGGACTTTATAAGATACAAAAAATTTTTCTAAGAGTGACTCCATGAGGTATAAAGTGCAAATACTCCCTGCTAGAGATCTTGGGGAGGCAGTACAACAGTAGTCAGAGTGCTGGATTGGGGACCAGAGGACCTGGATTCAAACCTTAGTTCTACTACCAGCTAATACCTCTGTGACCTTGTTAGATCATTTCCCTTCTCTCAGAACTATTTCCTTACCTAAAAAATGAGGGTTGTACTAGATGACCTGCCAGGTTTTATGATCCCCAGTTCACAACTGAAAAGAAAAATCTAGCCCAGAGAGAAAGATGACTCTTTTGCATTCACTTGGTGACCTTTAGCATTTACTTCAAGTCTCCTTATGTATAAAGTGAAATGTTTGGCTTGATCTTTAAAGCTTCTTCCAGCTCTCAGCTGATGAAGCCATGAATCTTTACAATGCTATTGACCTGAGATCAGGACTTCCTTTCAAATGCCCAATAAATGCCAGTTTGCTCATAAGCAATGTCAGAAGAGAGCCATCTTTAAACAATAGCTGCCTTGTTTCTTTCCTGATCTTTCCCTAACCAGCTTCATTCAGGGTGCACCCAGGGCTCTTCTTTGTGCTCATTTCAATTGAATGACAATGGATTCTCCAAATCTTCAAGGTCTACAAATTTTGGTATTTGAATTCCAAATATTTCTACCCCTGACTCCCATACACTCACACTCCCCAATCATTTGCTGTGCCATGTAATAAGTAGATGATCCAGGTTCCATGATGGCTTTAGAGATAGAAGAGACAGCAGAGTTTATCTAATTCATTTTATAGTGGAGGAAATTGAGATCTAGAAAAGTTGTTACTCATCCAAGGTCAATAAATAGTGGTGCTGGGTCTTGAACTCGTATCCCTTGACTCCAAGGTTAGTAGTATGTCCACTTATACTTGACTGACACATTAGTTTCTAGAAGCACTTTATTATCCCTGTCTTCTCAGGGCTGCTTTCTGTACTGCCAAATCTTGAACTTTCTTTAACGGCAAATTTGATCTCAGAAAGAAGGAGGGAAGGAAGGAAGGAAAGAAAGGAGAAAGAAAGGAAGGAAGGAGGAAGGAAGGAAGGAGAGACGGAAAGAAGAGAGGAACGAATAAATAAATATCTGTTAAGCACTTATGCTAAGCGATTTTTACAAATGTGATTTCATTTCATCCTCATTGAAAGCTGGCAGGTAGGTGCTGTTATGATTCCTATTTTACAGTTGAGGAAACTGGAGCAGTTAGAGGTTAAATGACTTGCCCAGGGTCACACAGCTAGCAAGTATCTGAGGTCTGATTTGAACTCAGATCTTCCTGACTCCAAGCACAGTGTTCTATCCACTGTACCACCAAGTTGCCTAAATAAGAAAATTACAAATGTTCATATAAGGTAGCTCAACCACAGCCTTGAGATAATGGTACATGGTAGATAGAGTTCCAGTACTATAATAAGGAAGAACTGAGTTCAAGCCCTTCCTATGGACTATAATCACTGGGAGACTGTGGTCTTAACTTCTTAGTCCTTAGATCATTCTCTCAGAGAAGGTAAGTCATGGATGAGTTGCTAGTCATCATCAATGGAGGGATATTCATTGATGAAAATTCTTTACCCCAGTGAGATTATGCCTATGTTAAAAATCACAAATAAAAAACACAGCCTAAGACATATGAATATCCAAGATCTATCTAGAGAGTGAAGGAGACCTTATAATAGTTTCCCCATTTATGGCCTTATCTAGAAGTGCTTAACCATTCTCTTTCATGGAGACCTTTGACAATATGGTGAAGACTATGGGCTCCTTCTCAGAATAATGTTTTTAAATGCATAAAATAAAACACAGAGGGTTGTGAAGGAAACCATTTATATTGAATTGAAGTTATCAAAGTACAAAATAATAAAACTTCTGAAATATTTAATATATAACAAATTCCCCCAATTCTGGATTGAGACTCATGTACATTCCAGGAGTCAGTCCTTTAGAAATCTGGAGAGGCAGCATGACGTATTGGAAAACACGTTGGCTGTAGAGTCAGTAAGACCTGGATCCAAGACCTGAGTGCCTTTAACACCAGCTGTGTGACTATAGACATCATTAAACCCCTCAGAATTTCTTCTTTCTCATTTGCAAAGTGGGATAATAATACCAATGGTAGATACCATTAGGCCGTTATAAAAAGGAAAAAAAAAAACACCATCTAAATGTCTATTACTATTGCTATCATATTCTATTAACGTATGTCTATCATATTCATTAATTCTATATTATCCATATGTTATTAATGCTTAGTGGTTCAGTCTTTGCTCCAGAGATTGAAACAATTCCCTAGGAAATCAGCATGTTGTGGGTCTTGAACCAAAGTAGATTGTCTTGTAAAGCGGAAGATGGAACATTCTTCCTTTCTGAAGGCTTGTTTTGATAAGTCATACATGAACTCCATCTATGCTGAGATGAGGAGAGGAGAGAACTGGAAATGCTCAAACAGAGGTCAACAGTTTGGGAGAAGGGTCTGACCATGATAGAGGTGGAAGAATAATGCCTTTGGAGTCAGAGGAACTGGGTTTATAATTCTATCACTTACTATTTTGCGATATTGACTAAATGACTTTACCTCTGGAGTCCTTAGTTTCCTCAACTGTGAAATGGGACGGTTGGTCTAAATAGCTTCTAAGATCCTTTCTAATCTAGATTTATGATCCCTAAGTAGCATATATGATCCATCTTCTATGGAATCTTACAACTGGTCACAAACCATCAGAGATGAAGAGTTAGGATTATAGGGTCCTTCTTTTCAAATTCGAGTGTTTGTTCAATTTAAGAATCATTGCTTGAGTAGAAAGGGACTTTAGAGATAACAGATCACAACCTCTTCTCATAGGATCATAGATATGAATCTGGAAGGGACTCTAGAAGGTTCACTAGCCCATGTCTTTTATTTAAGGAATGAGAAAACAGAGGCCCAGAAAAATGCAGTGACTTTCCTGACGTCACACAGCTTGTAAGTGTGTGATGGTGGGATTGAAACCCAGGTCCTCTGACTCCAAACCTAGCACTCTTTTCATTGTTCCCATTTTATTTCTCATTTTAAAGTTGAGGAATCTGAGCTGCTGGGAGGGAAGGCACCTGTCCAAAGTCACATAGGTGGCAGGGGGGATGGATGTTCAGAGGACCAGCTCCTCTGGTGGGAGGGATTGGGAGGCCATTTTCAGGGCTGCTCATCCACCTTTGGTGGCCATCTCTCACCAACTCTCACTTGTGGTCCCAAGAAGCTGTAGCGCCCCAACATGGCCATGTCCCAGTAAATTGTCTCGGCAGATGGCTAAACCAGGTGGAGAGTAACTGATGAACCTCAGAGCCATCAGTGAGTTATTGGGGTGTCTACCTCAAGCATGTGAAGACTTCCCCCACTGCAATGGGCAGATGTGAATCATTTGTTCCAACTGCCATGGAGATGAGAGAAGCTGGCTCAGTGGGGCGCCCAGAGCTTGGTCAGATGTGGAGGATGCCAAGGTCATCCACTGCACCCTAGGCCATTGCCAGTCATCCTGACTTTTGTCTTGCCACCAGACTTCAGTGGCTCTGGAAGACAGAGAGGCTGGTGACTTTGTGCACCCCTGCCCCACTTAAGCCTGATTCATGCACTAGTTAAGAGATTGCCCTGTGATGTCATTGGTACTTTTCAAAAAGGCATAAGAAGCAACAATTAAGTGTCAAGGCCAGGATTTGAACCCAGGTCTTCTGATTCCAAGTTTGCTGGGACATGAAGGCTAGAAAGAGGGGCATACGTGTGTGTCTGGGCTTTTACTATGTAACTGTCATTTATATAGCAAAGCACTTCCCATATATTATCTCACTTGATCCTCACACACACACAAAGGCATTATTAACTCCATTTAACAGATGAGAAAACTGAGTTTCAAAGGTTAAATGACCTGGCCATGGTCACATAGCTAGTTAGTGTACAAGTCAGAATTTAAAGCCAGGTGTCTCTTGACTCCAAGGTTATGGTTTTCCAGTATACCT